TTTACAGAGAGGAAGGGACAGGGATAGAGAGTTAGAAACATTGATGAGAGAGAAACATCGATCAGCTGCCTCCTGCACACACCCTACTGGGGATGTGCCTGCAACCAAGATACATGCCCTTGACCGGAATTGCACCTGGGACCCTTGAGTCCACAGGCTGTTGCTCTATCCACTGAGCCAAACCGAATAGGGCCTCATCATGATTTTATTTCCCCATCTCATGTGGTTCACAATCCAGCCCTGCCTGTTGTTCAGTGTCTGACAACAGTTATTTCATACTAGAGGCCCGGTGCACTAATTTGTGCACCGGTGGTGTCCCTCGGCCTGACCTGCGCCCTCTCACAATCTGGGACCCCTTGGGGGATGTCTGACTGTTGGTTTCAGCCCAATCCCTGCAGGCCAGGCTGAGGGACCCCACCAGTGCATGAATCTATGCACTGGGCCTCTATTATGCATATAGGATCTTTGGTTAATCTCTTTCTGCCCTCTGCCCTCCCCCCTTCCCTCTGAGATTCATCAGTCTGTTCTGTGTTTCCATGCCTGTGCATTGAGCCTCTGTCCCTGGTGGTCAGTGCATGTCATATAGCTACCGGTCGAATGGTCGCTTAGGCTATTTATTTTGTCCAGTTTTTTTTGTTGGAGAAGGGTAGTTCAGCCTCACCCATCATGGCCAAAAGTGGTAGTTCTCTTAATACATTTTTACAGAAATAAGTTTTCAGAAGGCTAATTGAGGGTTTTAAGAATAGTGCACTTAAACTGTGTGCTGTATGTATGTTTTTTCTGGAAAATAGTGACAAATGAAGCAACCCTTTTAACTAGCCTAGTCTTTACATCATAGCTTCCTTTAATGCTTTTTACTGTTTTTAATATAATTATACCAGAGGCCTGGTTCATGGATTTGTGCACTGGTGGGGTCCCTCGGCATGGCCTGCAAGGATCTGGCTGAAACCGGCAGTCCAATGCCGCCTGCCACTCCCGCTCATCCCAGCCCCACTGTGCCTGCCCTGGGCTCGCACCTAGTCACTCCCAATTGGGAGAGGCTTGCACCGGCACAGCGGTGCTTGCCAGCCATGAGCCCTGCTTCTGACACCCATCTGTTAGCTGAGCGGCGCTCCCACTGTGGGAGTGCACTGAACACCAGGGGGCAGCTCCTGCGTTGAGCATCTTCTCCTTGGTGGTCAGTGTGCGTCATAGCGACCGGTCATTCAGTCACTTAGGCTTTTATAGATATGAAAAACGTTATATTTTTAATCTTTAATTTCTTTATTGGTTAAGGTATTACAAATGTGTCCTCATCCCCCCATTAACCCTCAACTTCCCTCCCCCCCCGCTCCCCCTTATGCTCTCATCCTCCTGTTGTCCGTGTCCATTGGCTATGTTGTTCTCTATATTCCACAAATGAGTGAGATCATGTGGTATTTATCTTTCTCTGACTGGCTTATTTCACTTAGCATAATGCTCTCCAGTTCCATCCATGCTGTTGCAAATGGTGAGAATTCCTTCTTTTTCATAGCAGTGTAGTATTCCACTGTGTAGTTGTAGCACAGTTTTTTAATCCACTCACCTGCTGTTTCCAAATCTTAGCTATGGTGAATTGAGCTGCTATAAACATAGGGTTGCATATATCCTTTCTGATTGGTGTTTCTGGCTTCTTGGGATATATTCCTAGAAGTGGGATCACTGGGTCGAATGGGAGTTCCATGAAAAACGTTATTTTTAAGCTTTCTGTTAAGTAAATAGGAACACTAAGTTTAGTTGCTTAGTCTTGTGTTTCTTTGATTACATACATTTGGTAGTAACTCCCAAGTTATAGTTTTTGTTCTCCCCTTCCTCTTATCCCCCAGGTCATTCAGCCTGCTGAGTGCTGAGTTGATTGTGGGAGGGGCAGAGAGTTAGGAAGCAATTGCAGAGAAACTGGGACTGATGGACCTACTAGATCAGGGGTGGGAAACCTCTGGCCTGTGGATTCATTTGGTCTGGCCCTGCCAAGAAATTAGGGGTGAGATAATTAAATGTTTGACCAAATATAGCAGGTTAATTTTTAAGTTGATAATTTTGTATGGCCCATGAATGATGTTATAAATATCCAAATGGCCCTTGACAGAAAAAAAATTTTCCCACTCCTTTACTAGAGGATGGAAGTATGAGGGAAAGAAAGGACCAAGGATAATTAGTTTTTTTCCATCGTCATCTGGTTGGATGAATTGAGGGGAAGATATGTACTGAGATGGAAAAGACTTGGTGAAGAATAGATTTTGGGGTGAAATCAGTTGTGTTTTGGATATATTGAGATGTGAAACAAACAATATGGTGAGTACATAGTTGGTATAGAACAACTCTATAGTTGGCTGTAGTATTGAGCTATAGGCAATTGGTTTCTTGATGCTACATGTAAAAAGTTACTACATATTCTATCATTTTGTCATCTTTTGCATTAACTATCCCTCCCAGATTTTGAATATATTATTTTAAAAGTTGTGAGTAAATTTTATGACAGTGAATATCTTTTAGATGCAGGTTTTGTTTTGTTGTAACATACAGTGATTTAAAAAATAATTATGAAAGCACATGTTGATACCTAAAATTCAAATAATAAAAAAATAAGTAATTTCCCCCTCTGTCACCCATGCCTTCCCACTCCAGAATCAAGTACCCTCAGTCCTCCTAGCCATTTTATCTGGTATTTGCTTTCTTTTGTTTAACAATATATCACTATTTCTTGATACATGACTTTTTGTTTTTTTGGTCGTTGTTAATCCTCACCCAAGGATATTTTTTTCCATTGATTTTTAGAGACAGTGGAAGGGAGGGAGAGAAGGAGGAAGAGTGAGAGGGAGAGCTATTGATATGAGAGAGACAAATCAATTACTTGTCTCCTGTACACACCCAGGGTTCAGGGATCAAACCTACAACCCAGGTACTTACCCCCTTGACTGGGATATGAACCCACAACCCCTCTGTGTGCTGTCTGATGCTGTAACCATTGACCCTTACCAGCCAGGGCGATAAATGACTTTTAAACATTTGTTGACTTTTGGTTATGGAATATGAGGACTTAGAACTTCATCACTACCATGTTTGCCCTCTTTCCTTTTCCTCATTACCTCATATCACAATATTTCAGTAAATTAGTACTTAATACTTACATTTTTATAATCATGTATATGTTGTTCACTGGTAAGCCAAATATTACACTAAGATCACACTTTCTTATATAAGTCTTTATTTCTCCTGGAGTTAATATCTGTCTCATTTATACAGTTACCTGGTTTTCTTTTCTTTTTGTTAATTGATTTCAGAGAGGAAATGAGAAGGGGGGGGGAGAGAGAGAGAGAAAGAGAGAGAGAGAGAGAGAGAGAGAGAGACATCAATGATGAGAGAGAATCATTGATTGACTGCCTCCTGCATGCTCCACACTGATGACCTAGTCTGTAACCTGGGCATGTGCCCTGACTGGGGAATCAAACCATGACCTCCTGGTTGCTCAACCACTGAGTCATGCCAGCTGGGCAGTTGTTTTGTTTTCTGTAGACCTGTTACTTTTCCCCCAAATATGCCTGTACTTCTGTTATGTGGTTATAAATAATATTTTCCATATTATGAAGTACATCAGTTCCATTTTTGCCTTTGTTGGAAATGTATTCCATGGTGTCCTTTGGCTTCGCTTCCTTTTTTATTTTGGAGTGGTTTTGTTCTCTAGTTCTTTTTTCTGCATTAGATTCCTTAGTTACTAACTTCCATTTTGTCTTGTTAATTTTTTTTTGATTCTTTTTAATAAACTTTTCTAAGGGAGATTACATAGAAATAGAATTTTAGCTTTCTGAGAAGCCTTAAAATGTCACATTACTCATATAGTTGATTGCTAATCTGGCTGGGTATAGAATTCTAGATTGAAACTTAATTTCCACTGAATTTTTAAGGCTGTGTATAGTTTTCTGGCTTTCAGCAATATTCTAGTACTATTATGGAATAAAAGGTGCCATTATGATTATAGATATTCTTATGTTTGTTTGTTTCTTTTCCTTCTCTTTCTCAGGAAGTTTTTAAAGACCTTTTCTTTTTGGGCTTTGAAATTTCATTATGATGTTTCATGGTATAGGTCTTTATTCTTCTTTATTATTTTGCACGTACTTGTTTGTCCCTTTGCAGCTTGAGAGACTTCTTTCCTTCAGTTAAAAAGAAAATTTGTTTTGAAATATAATTTCTACACTTCTACCTTTTTTCAGTTTTCACTTTATATAATAAATAGTAGCCCTGTGCATGAATCCGTGTACCAGTAGCTGGCTGCCGCCCTCCAGTAGCTCTCCGCCCACTGCCCCACCCTCCTGCAGCCCCCCAACCCTCCATAGCTTGCTGCCCTGCCCCCTCCTATAGTTCTCCTCCGCGGCTTGTAGCTCACTGCCCCACCCTCCTGATCTGTGATGCCGTCAATGCGGTCCGTCGTTATGCATCACAGCATAACAACCATTACATATTACATCTTTATTATATAGGACTAGAGGCCCAATACTCGAAGATTTGTGCAAGAATAGGCCTTCCTTCCCCTGGCTGCTGGCACCACCTTGGCTCCGGCCTGGAGCCGCCTTCCACCTTTGCTCGCTGCCCCAAAGGTGGAACACCTGTGTTGTCACCATGGCGATGATGCAAGCATCCCTGCCGGTTGCCGCCATCTTTGTCGCATCATTTTGCATATTCCCTCCTCACTGGCTGTGGGTGCTGCCATCTTTGTCATAAAGTGACTCAATTTGCATATTCCATTTTTATTAGGATTGTTGAACCTTTAGGAGTAAGCTAATGATTTTCTTATTTTTTTGTAATCTATATTCTGTCCTTTTGTTTTATTTTCTGTATTTGAACCTTCTGTATTTTTTTACTGGGATTTAAAAGAATATGGAAGTAATCTTTGATTATCCTATTGTGTGTAACAGAATAAAATATTTCGCAACGAATTTAAACTTTTTGCATTTCTTGCTAAACTTAATTTTTTTTTTCTTTAACAGAGATGTTATGAGCATAAACAGTATAGAAATGGGTTGAAATTCTGTAAACAAATCCTCTCTAATCCCAAATTTGCAGAGCATGGAGGTAAGTGTAAATACCATATGCTTACTTGTGAGTATGAATAGATAAGGCTTTGCTTACTTGTCTGGCTTCATTTATTTGGGTTCTATCACTTCCTAATGCCTTAAATAATTTCCAGAGAGGATGGACTTTTTTTTCCTTGACGTCTGTTTTTTGAATTTAGTGTCAAGAAAATGATACACACATTTTACTTGAGTTCTGACATACCTATTTTAAGACTAAGCATGGAGGAGAGGCAGAAGCACCTAGTAGAATAAATATGCTTATTTAAGTTGAATCAGTAAATTTATTTAAGAAGTTAAAAGAAAAATGTGCTTTAGAATTTTGATCTGGGGAATTTTATTCCTTAAAATAACTTACTCAGAAAGTGCCCATTTGGTCCCAGCATCTTTTTATTTAGCATTATATCTTAGTTTTTTCAGACAGTCATATTTAATGCATGATTTGTATATTGTAATCTTCTGAAAATTTTTTTGCCTTTTAGCTTTTGCCTATGTGAGGGTAGAAGATTGGACAGTGAGATGTTTGTAGAGTAAGGGAAGAGTGTTTAGCTAAACTTGAGATGAGGCAAAGGAAAAATAAGCTTTCATAGGTCAGAGTTGTATAGTTAGGAAACATGGCTCTTTGGTAGTTAATTTGATAGTGTTATCACTATTGGAGAGAGTAATAGTTTTCTATTAGCTTTACTTTATTAAAATAATAGCACTATTTTTTTCTTTTTTTTTTTAATCCTCACCCAAGAATATTTTACCATTGATTTTAGAGAGAGGGAATACAGAGAGAAACATCAATGTAAGAGAAACACATCAATTGGTTGCCTCCTGCACGTGCTCTGACCAGGGCCCGGGCCCAGGAGGAGCCTGCAATGAAGGCACGTGCTCTTGACCGGAATCAAACCCGGGGACCCTTGGGTCCACAGGACGATGCTCTATCCACTGAGCCAAAACAGCTAGGGCTAACACTTTTTTAATGTTGTTAAAAATATTTTTTGCTGGCCAGCTGGATATTAGGTTGTTTATATTTTTTTCTAAAGTAAAATACTGGTCATATAACTTTAGTAATGTAATGATAGAATTTCAATATAGCAGAGACCAAAGTTCATTGTTCTAAAGTGCAGTTTCTCATATTTATTTATTTATTTTTAAATATATTTCTTTTTACTCAAAGGTAATTCCAGAAAGTCATGTTTTAGTCATTTTTAAAGTGAGATAAATTGAAGATCTCAGAAAAATTGTATCTGATCTTCTTCTGTTTTTATAACCCCCGCTGAGCCAAACTGGCTAGGGCTAGTTTCTCATATTTTAACATATCTGAAATTAGGTTGCATATGAAGGATAGTAACCTAATGGAAAATATTTTTTAACAATACATAAAATGATGGTTTGTCTTAAACATAATGGCATCCTGGGGTTCCATTAATTAAGGAACTTTAAGATGTTTGGTAAAGCTTGTAAGAATATATTTTACTTGTTTGATAACAAAGGGTTAATTTTTACAGTACCGTGCTGAATATATTTGCTTTCTTTTCATTTATACATGAGGCCCGGTGCACGAAATTTGTGCACTCGGTGGGAGGGGAATCTCTCAACCCGGCCTGAGCCCTCTCGCAGTCTGGGAGTCCTTGGGGGATGTTTAACTAACAGGCCCGCTCCCCAACAGTCGGACATCCTTAGTGCTGCCACAGAGGCAGGAGAGGCTTCTGCCACCACCACTGCGCACATCAGCCTGAGCTTGGCTTTTGGCTGAGTGGTGTTCCCCCTCACTGCGCTTGCCAGCCATGAGCCTGGCTTCTGGTTGAATAGCGCTTCCTCTGTGGGAGTGCACTGACCATCAGAGAGCAGCTCCTGCATTGAGCGTCTGCCCCCTGGTGGTCTGTGCATGTCATAGAGACTGGTCGTTCCACTTTTCGGGCGATTTGCATATTAGCCTTTTGTTATATAGGATGATTTATAACAATTTAGTACATGATTTCTCCCCTCTTTTTTGCTTTTATTTCTTTATCTGTACTTTCCTATAAATGTTTTTTTCTTATAGCCATATCTTTTATTCCTACATAATTTTTCTATAAATTCTAAATTTTAGTCCTAAAAGTTAGACAAATACATAATAATGAATATTTTTATTCTTTTGTACATCATAAAATATATATTATAAAATTAAAAATATTTTTTTGCCTTTTCTAAAAAATTAATGTTGCCCTCAACTTCCTTTTATTTATTTAATTTTTTTGTTAATCCTCACCGGAGGATATTTTACCATTGACTTTTAGAGAGAGTGAATGAAGGGGAAGAGACAGAGAGAAACACATGCCTTGGTTGCCTCCCACACACACACCCGTACTGGGGTCAGGACCTGGGACACTTCAGTCTGCAGGCTGACTCTGTATCCACTGAGCCAAACCGGCATGGGCTCAGGTCCCTCTTTTAATCTGTTCATTGTGAGTGACACGAGTCTGATATCTTCTTTTTCTTGTATATTTAATAATATCCTAAAGAATTATTGTAAAAGAATGAAATTTATGCATATCAGAAATGTTAATGTATATAATTTATGTGTATATTTTAATCATTGAGCAATGATTTTAATCTCTAATTTGGGTTCAAAGAAGTAAAATCTGTTTTGCGATAAAGTTTTTTCATACTTTAAAGGAGTAATTATGTAAGGTCATTCTATAGACCTTCCCTAAAGAATAGTAATAGAGCTGTTGTATCTTGTTAGCATCTGAATTTCCAGATATTAATGCATTTTGTACCTTTCATCTAAAAAAAAAAATCTAGGGAGGCCTAGAGTATAGAAATGTGGTTTAACTTTGGTTTGTCGATTTTTAAAATATTTTAATTCTGTGCAAACCTGGAAAATTTCCTAATAATCTTCAGTTCTTAGGGTAATGTAACATTTGTCTTTGAGGTTATGGTTATCTTTTTTGTTGTTAACTATTTTAAATGTTTAATTCCTTTTTCCTACTTTTTCTTATTTTTTAATAGAAACTCTGGCTATGAAAGGATTAACATTGAACTGTTTGGGTAAAAAGGAAGAAGCTTATGAATTGGTTCGTAGAGGTTTGAGAAATGACTTGAAGAGTCATGTGTGTATCCTTTTTGAGAGATATATAAAGATTGGATTGGGGTATCCTGAGCTAAGGTAGTAGTTTGGGAATCAGCAGTTTTATATTCCTGTTACCATGTAACTCCAGAGGAGTAGCAACTGCCTTCATTCAGGGAACACTTTTACATATCTACCATGTTCTAATGCATCTATTTACAGATTAATGGGCTTGCTTTTTTAAAGTATCTATGAAAATTCTTCCCGTGCTTCAAAAAGAAGGCACCCTGCAGACCTTGTCATGATCATAAATTAAAGAAGGGTGTACACTAAGGAATATTAGAAGCCATATAGTGCACTGTTTAAGAGCACAGGTTTAGGAATATACTTCACTTAGGTTTGAATCCCAGCTCAACTTCTTTCTGGTTGTGATCATAGGGCTTAATTTCCTCATGCGTAAAATGAGGGTAATCAGAACCAACTCACTGTGGTGGTGTAAAGATTAATGATGCTTAACAAAGTCCCTGATAATGCTAATTACTATGCTATACAAATTTTATCTTAGTAAGGAAATATGAGGGTAGCAGAAAGTACAAATGTCTAAGGGAAGATAGAGGGAAAGATTGTGGGCTGCTATTTATTAAGTAGTTTTTAAACAAATATTTTCTTGCTTATTTTGTGGGCAAACACAATTTTAAGTGCTGAAACACTTAGCAGATTTTCAAATGTTTACCAGGCCCTTGGCATAGTACAAATTAAGAAATGAAAGGGTATTAATTTAGAAGCATATACAGAACATTTCTGAGTATTACATGAAATGTTAGTGCATGTTAAAAAATTATCACTATTCCAGAAAAAAAAAAAGTAAGTTGGGAATAACCAGAAACTAAAAATGTCAGCAAGTATTAATCAGATGGTTGTAGATATCTTTTTATCATTTTTAATAATTGCACAGTGTTCTATATGTTATTTGCCATGGTTTATATATTTGGGTTCCTCTTGATGGACATAAGACTCCTTGAGGGTAAATTTTTAGGAGGTGAAGATTAGAGGCAGTTAAAAGGTGTTACAGTGCTCAAGAGGTGATTGAAATGGGGAGGAATGAGAAGGTAAGTAATGGGGCAGATTATAAAGGGTAGTGTGTTTTAGGCTTTTCAAAACCATGTTCCAACCAACAGAAGATTTTGTTAAGCCTTACTTTGTCATTCATATTATGAATAGATTATTTTTCAAGTAAAATTTTATGTTAAATATATATTTTTAGTTAAACATGCCACCCTAGGTATTCTACATTTTACTGTTCTTGAGAATCCCTGCTGTATAAGTCACTAAATTAAAATTTTTGAACCTGATCTGAAAGAGAAACTTCTGTAAATTTCTAGAAAGGGGAGTGGATTTTTTCCCTTTTGATTATGTATGTGTTATAAAGGTTACTTTGGCAGGAGAGAATAAAAGCAGAACTGAAGGTGGGAGAATGGTGATTGTCGTAGTAATTAAGATCTAAAGTGAAAAGTACTTGTGTTAGGATAGTGGAAATACATATTTTACCCCTTTATTCCATTTTTTTTTTTTACAGCATGTAATTTTGCTTATGTATGTCTCTTATCAGACTCTTAAGTTCTTTGCATGCAGGAGACTGCCCTTTTGGGTCATCTACCACCCTAATTATTAAGACATTTTAATATATGTGGAATGAAGATCTTTATTTTATATGTGGTTGATTTTTAGGAACTTTGTTCTGCACTAAGGGTTCTCTCCCGAGGACCTTGTTAGCTAAAGAAAATAAAATATAAATCATTTAAAATAATTGTATGTTATGGATACCCATTCCCTCTTTTCTCTTTAGATATTAGCTAATATTTATTGAGCATTTGATGCCAGCCAGTGAGCACTTTCTATGTGTTATTCCAATTAGTCACCAAACTAATGCTTTACTTTATAGACTTTCTATTTACATTTTATAATTGAGAAAACATGGCCAGATTAAATAATTTATCAAAGGTCATAGAGCTAACAAGGCAGGCTAGACCTGTTTGCTCTGGTTTGAAAAGCTGTCCTGTTTTCCATTGTATTAAGCTATTGTATCTTTATATTATCTCCTTTTTATTTAATGGCTTGTAATTTTATAAATAGCTATAGTTCTCTGAGTTTCCTGGGGAATATTATTGGAATACTATCTCTTGACTTAACTAAGTCCTTTAGTTGTATCCTTAACTAAATCTTTAGGTTGGCATGTTTATGGCCTTCTCCAGAGGTCAGACAAGAAATATGATGAAGCCATTAAGTGTTACAGAAATGCGCTAAAATGGGATAAAGACAATCTTCAAATCTTAAGGGACCTTTCTTTACTACAGATTCAAATGCGAGATCTTGAGGGTTACAGGGTAAGTAAAATAAAGAATTTTTTATTCTAGGAGAAAATATTGTTAAAATATAAACCTTTTTTGAGTACTTTTTGATAATAAAATTTTTCCATTTTTAAAAAGAATTTAATTAAATCTTACACCTTCCCCCAGTAGTGATTGTGTTTATGACTGGACTATTCAGATTTTAAAAATAAATTTTTTTAATATATATTTTTATTGATTTTTTACAGAGAGGAAGGGAGAGAGATATAGAGAGCTAGAAACATCTATGAGAGAGAAACATCGATCAGCTGCCTCCTGCATACCTCCTACTGGGGATGTGCCCACAACCCAGGTACATGCCCTTGACCGGAATCGAACCCGGGACCTTTCAGTCCGCAGGCCTACGCTCTATCCACTGAGCCAAACTGGTCAGGGCTACATTTTAATTCTTAAACATTCTATTAAATTAGATGATTGATTTTTCTCTCTTTTTTCTCATGTAGCACCTGCTGAGTTATTTTCTATAGATCTTAATACAGTAGTTGTGCATTGTATTTTTTTTTAAATGTTTTTCCTTTGTACTATCTTTTCCATCTTGTCTTTTCTTAGAGATAATGAATCAGAAAATAATGATGTGTACCTAGTTATAACTTTTTAAAAAAATTACAAGATTACCTTGGAGGCTTCATTGTACTTTTTTTTTAGTCCTCACCTGGGAATATGTGTTTTTAAATTGACTTTAGAGATAGAAAGGAAGCGAGAGGGAGGAAGGGAGGAGAAAGAGAAGGAAGTGGGGGGGGGAGGGAGAGAGAGAGAGAGAGAGAAGAGGGAGAGAGAGAGAGAGAGAGAGAGAGAGAGAGAGAGAGGAGAGAAACATCAATTAGTTGGCTCCTGTATGCACCCAGATCGGAGATTGAACCTGCAACCTGGGTATGTGCCCTGACTGGGAATTGAACCTGCGAACTTTCTGTACACTGGACAATACTCCAACCAGCCGAGCCACACAGGCTAGGGCTTCATTGTGCTTTTTAAGAAAATATTTTTTGCTTCTGTATTGCTATACAGTATGGATATTTGAAACTGTTTTCTGATATTATTCCCTGCATTGTGTTGCAGATTGCTCAGTGTTGTGAGGGAATTAATATGATCTTTTTAAGGAGCATATGCTTTCACTGTAAACCTAAGAAAAGTTTTTTCTCCCCTGCCTTAAAGGAAACAAGATATCAATTACTTCAGCTTCGACCTGCCCAGAGAGCATCATGGATTGGTTACGCTATTGCTTACCACTTATTAGAAGATTATGAAATGGCAGCAAAGATTTTAGAAGAGTTTAGGAAAACACAACAGGTAACACTCAGAAGCCAGACCTAGTAAACTCGGTCCTATTCTAATTATAACTAAAAGAAAGAAGTGTACAAGAAGAGTATGCAAAGAACTTCCTAGAGGAGTTCACACACATTACTAATTTAGTATTTGATACATTTACCTTATAATCTCGATATCTATTTATTTGTTTATAGTTTCTTCTAAAAACATTTGTATTTGCAGACACAATGTTCTTTGACTCCTAAATGTTTCCGTGTGGTATTTCCTAAGAATAACTTTGTAGTTGTGAACTCTATAGGATAGTACTGTGTAGAGTATTTAAAAATTAGGAAACTTCATTGATAGATTATCTAATCTCTAGCCCATTTATCAATTGTCTATATCCTTTCTAGATTTTTTTTTCCTATTTCAGGATCTAGTTTAGAATCATACCTTACATTTGCTTATTATCATTTCTCTTTGGTCTCTCTTAATCTTTGGAAGTTTTGAAGACTTCCTTTGTACTTCATAACATTGATATTTCTGAAGAATATAGGGTAGTGATTTTTGTAGAATGTCCATCCATTTGGATTTGTTTGGTGGTTCCTCATAATTAGTTATAGTTATGTATTTTTGGCAGGAAACCACAGGGTGTTGTTGAGCCCTTCTCAACTCATCACACTAAGAGGCACATAATGTCTGTCTGTTCCATTTAATCACTTGGATAAGGTGGTATCTATTAGGTTTCTTCACTATAAACTTATTTTTTCTTTGTTATTTTTTTCTCTTGGTGTTAAAACACAATTCGAGACTTTGTGGGTAGCCTGTTCATCAAATTTTACATTTATCCACTCGTCTTAGCATTTATTGATTATGATTCTTGCTTGAATCAGCTGTTTCAGTGATAGTTGCAAAGTGGTGATTATCTCTTATTCCTTCTAGATTTATTATTTGATATTCTGCTATTAAATAAGAGCTTTCCTTTCCCCTTATTTATTTATTATATGTAAGGACTTAGGGATTCTTAGTCAGTGGGTTATAAGTTAGTACTGTCACTATTACTTAATTGTTCCCTAGACAGATATTTACTAATTTAAAAAAATGAGTTATATCAATCAGATTGTGTCCTTAGACTTCTTGTATGTATTTGAGTGTATAAACAGTTTCTAATATGAAAACAAAATTCTTAACTGTTAATATTCCTTATATCCATATATAGACATCCCCTGATAAAGTGGATTATGAATATAGTGAACTCCTTTTATATCAGAATCAAGTTCTTCGGGAAGCAGGTCTCTATAGAGAAGCCCTGGAACACCTTTGTACCTATGAAAAGCAGATTTGTGATAAACTTGCTGTAGAAGAAACCAAAGGTATTTTTTTTTAAAGAATATCATTTATTCTAGCATTTAATTATGACAAAGAGCAAGGTTAAAAATTTAGTTGCTGTTGAAAATTGCATGTAATTCAACTTTTTGATGATAGAAATCCTGTTCAAATAATTTTTAATCTGGGAAAATTACATTTAAACAATGAATATTGTTATAGGTAAAAGAACGTTGAACAATAAAAATTATTAAATGAAGTGACTCAAAATGTTTTTTCTTTAAATAAAGTATTTTTGATCTTAAAATATAGGATGTTGATTAAAAAAAACACAGGATGTAATTGCTTAATTTTATATAACATAGGATTAAATTTCTTAGAAATGCCTTATTAGCAGAACAGGATGTGTATATCAGATTTCTTATATAGCTATATCAGTCTTTACTAAAGTATATATGGGACATTCCTGAAGTTCTTTATAGTTTATCTGGATATAGAAAGAATATGAATTGAAATCAGAGATTTGGGTTTATATGTGTGGATTGCAATAGGAGGGTAGGGTTTTAAATAAAAATCGTTAATGCTGCCATTTATTTATTTATTTATTTTGCCATTTATTATAGGACTGAAAAAAAAAGGAGTCTTAGGTTTTAAGAGTTGAGGAAGTGGTGATGGAAAATGAAAGAATGACAAGTAATTAAAAATACAAGTACTTTCTAGGAATTATCATCTAAAGTGTTGCTTTGCCCTTGTTAGTCCAGAGAACTGAAATTTGCTGGTTCCAAATTCCATTGGCTCCCCTTGAAGTTGAACACAAGAAAACTGTGGTATCTGTTACATAAAACTGGATGTAGCCATTGTTTGCCTGATGGACTTTGAGCAGATGATATTGCTACTGGCGAGAAAAAAATGGAAATTTAAGGTTCCTGATCCTCAGTTATGAACGAACAGCTCTCTTTCATTTGAGTTGTCATCCCTTAATGGTCTCTTAGTTATAAGGGGAGGAGATTTATGACTTACTGGGAATATCGCTAGATTGGAAAAAAATAGTTCAAATTCCTTGATTGGCTGGCTCCTAACTAGCTATATGATCAAGGGCAAGTCTTGGACCTCAGTTTCTTTTATGAAAGCACACAACAGTTTTCAAAATACTCTGATACATTATTTCATTTGCTTCTCTTGATAACTTTTTTTTTTTAAATATATTTTATTGATTTTTTACAGAGAGGAAGGGAGAGAGATAGAGAGTTAGAAACATCGATGAGAGAGAAACATCGATCAGCTGCCTCCTGCACACCTCCTACTGGGGATGTGCCTGCAACCCAGGTACATGCCCTTGACCGGAATCGAACCTGGGACCTTTCAGTCCACAGGCCGACGCTCTATCCACTGAGCCAAACCGGTTTCGGCTCTTGATAACTTTATTAGTTATAGGGAAACAGTGATGGGTAAAACAGGTTACAGGATCAACAAAATATTTTTATAGCATGTGCTTATGTTTACTTGAGAATGATCTAATAGATACAGAATATTTGATACAGTAGAGGGTTTGTGATCTAGTGGATAAGTTAAAGGCTTAGCCTTAAATAACAACATGATTAGTTCATCCCCAGAGATGGTAGAATATATGGGCATTGAGTGGATGTGTAAATGTAGCGGGCATTTGGGAGTTCCAATTGCTTTCATTTTCTCAATAAAATAGGAAACAGAGCCATTGGTTCATTCCATAAAATGTGTTGAATACCTGCAGTGAGTCAGCTATTGGGAACAATATACATAAAGAGAATAGAAAGGAAATGAGTGTAGAATCATCAGTCTTTGGGAATTCCAGTAATAAAGGCATTGTTGTTATTGGTGGCGCAGGGTGAGGGGGTAGGCGGGATATCAGGATAATTTGGGAACTTCCTGGAGTAGGTGAGTGGGCATATAGATAGGCAGAAAGTTTCATTAATTCTTATTCCATCAGTTCCGTTTACAAAGAAAATGTGGGAGAAGATGAAGGGAAGGAAATGTGGATGGGTAGTTTAGGGGAGAAAAGTTGCAGGATATTTTGTATATTCTTAGTGAAGTAGGCTTTTGGTTAATACAAAGCAGGCTGTCATTCTCAGCACTTTTGAGATTTTGAGACTGGGATGTTGAGGGTGGAAGTCTCCTTTATGTTACAGAATGTTTAGCAGCATCACTAGCTTCTATTTATCAGATACCATGGCATCACCCCCTCCACCTCCCTTTACTGTGACAACTAAAAATTCTCCAGATATTGCCAAATGTCCCCTGGCTGGCAAAAGTGCCTCTGGTTAGAACCACTGGTATAGGCATTAAGAATATGTGCTCTTTCAGCCAAATTGCTTGGGTTCAAATTCTGACTCCAACATTTAACTAGCTGAATGACCCTCAGCAAGTTATAAGTCCTCTCTGCATTAAAATGATGAAATTAATGATAACCTAACTCATAGAGGTTTGAGAATTGAGTTAATGTATGTGAAACATTTCAAAGTCACTAACAAAGTAAGAACTCACTAAATGTTTTTTATTATCTGGTTAGAGCAAATGGTGTAAGGATATAGTTATAGTTTGAAAATAATAATTTTGGTCAATAGGAGCTGTCACGTTAAGGATAAGAATTCTGAATAGTGTTTGAGGCTTATGTGAGTTTGGAGCTCATATATTTGTAGTAAAACCAGTGCCTCTGTCCATTCATCTGATGACTTTGCTTTTTTTGTGGGAGAAGATGTGGAGCAAACACTTTGGGATCATCCAGGCCTTAAATATCTAAATAAGGGAGCTGAGGTTTGAGACTGATTTTGATACTTGGGGCTGCTAATATCATTCAGGGACGAGATTGGTCATGCAGCCCAGAGAAGACATGCAGTGAGTCTACGGGTTGCTGAGATGGCTTAAAGCAGTGGTCGCCCGCGGACCACCGGGTGGTCCATGAAGTCCGAAAGGTTGGCGACCACTGGCCTAAAAGAAAAGAAAGGAGTGGGTTTTCTGTAAGGTTGAAGGATAGGATTGGTGAGACCAGAAGGAGGAAGACAAGTAAGTTCAGCTTAAAGTAAGATGTCTATTTGGTAGTTGGAAGCACTAGAAAACACAGGTTTTGGATGTGGCCGTGAATATAGGTACTACAGCAGAATAGCTTCATAGTTAAAAGATGATAAATGTAGGGTATTAGATTAGGTCATTAATTTGGATGTTAAATTGTCCATATGATGTCAGAAATAATTAAGTAGTAGTTGATGGGTTTGGTGATTGTGTTCCAATAAATTTGGGAAGTAGCTTGGAGGTAGACAAATATCTGAATAAATTGAGGATGTGATGAGAATGGCATTTCTAAATATGAACTTGGGGAGAGACCATAATATTACATGGTAAATAGTCTTTTGAAGGGAATTGGGAACTCAGGAGGATACCAAATGCATCCACTTCCCAGCATTGAAGAGATCTTAAAATTTGAGGGGAAAAAGTTGTAACCAGAAAATATGTAGTTAACTTCATTTGTGTTTTATCAGGGGAACTTCTGTTGCAATTATGTCGCTTGGAAGATGCAGCTGATGTGTATAGAGGATTACAGGAGAGAAATCCTGAAAACTGGGCCTATTACAAAGGCCTGGAAAAGGCACTCAATCCAGGTAGCATTATTTAAAACTTACTTTCTAAGTTTTAATTGCTTCTTTTGTAATTAACATGTATTTTATTAACTCATTCAAAAGCATAACTGGAAAAATAGTAGTTAAGAATTGGATCAGAATCTGAATACAAAAGTACATTTGTAAACTTTGATTTAATATGGCAGACAGCATTTTCTGAAACTTCTCTTCTACACAAATTCATAGAAATAGTTAAGAGAAAAAATTAGAAACAACTTTTAAAAATTCACAAATGTGCCCTGGCCAGTGTTGCCCAATTAGTTGGGCAATGCCATTACCAATAGATTGCTGTTTGAATTCCCTAGTCAGGGCACATGCCTGGGTTGCAGGTTTGATCCCTGATAGTAGGTGTGCAAGAAGGCAGCTGGTCTATCTATGTGTCTCTCTCACATTGATGTTGCTCTTTCTCTCCCTCTTCCTTCCTCTCTAAAAATCAATTTAAAATCATTTAAAAAATAAAATTAAAAAATTCACAAATGCATATAAGCAGCATCAAAAGCATGAAAGGGAAATTTCCATTGTCAGAAATGGAGATGTCTCCCTAAAGGAAAGAAGCAAACGTAACTTCTCTGGTAACCTGTGGCCACAGCAGAATGGCCTGCTGGGGCACATGAATATAGCTGAAAGAACAGCACTTGCCTATATGGGAAGAGGGACTAAATTTCCATCACTCAAATAAACTTGGCTTTTGAGACAACCCCTTCCCCCCAATTTCCTCCATCACCCTCTCCCATGAACAGGACCCACTCGTAAGGACAGGCCCAGAAACATGTTACCTATAGATAGGCCTGCCTGTTCCTCAGCCAAGAGGATCTGATTTGAAGCTGTGTTTCCCTCAAGACTGGTATTGAGCCATTTCTGATATAATGACATATGCAGAAGGAACTTTGTAATAATGTCATACTATCCTAGAACACCAGCACAGGAATGATAATTATCAATGCTAGCCAAAGGGAGAGTGGAAATAAAGGAGGAGTCTAAGGTGAGGGCAGGGAATTGCAGCCATGAAATATGAATAGTGATGAGAAAGTACCAATTAGGAATCTGGGAAACGAAAAACCTACTTAGTGACTTAAAAATCTTGATTGAATAAGAGAGGCCACAGCTGAGGGGAGATTAGTGAAGTAGAAGATTGATGAACTGAGGAAAGCTCTCAACTGAGTGTAAAGAATAAAATACAAAAGAAAGAAAGAGAAATGGAAGATAGGGGACAGATCCAGAAGCTCCAAAGTAAATCAGAGGACAGGAGTTAGAAAAGGAGAGGTTGCACCAGCCAGTGTTGCTCAGTGGTTAGGGATCAATCCATGAACCAAGAGGTCACCAGTTCAATTCCCAGTCAGGGCACATGCCTGGGTTGTGGGTTAGATCCCCAGTGGGAGGCATACAGGAGGCAGCCCATCAATGATGTTTCTCTCTCGATGTTTCTATCTCCCTTCCTCTAAAAGTCAATAGAAACAAATAAAATACAAGTCAGATCTGGTCATTAAAAAAAGAAAAGGAGAGGTTGAAGAGAATAGTGGAAGAAGCCATCTATGGAAATACAATAATTGAGCCATTCTCAGAACTACAGTACAGCAGTCCTCAGATTTTGAAAGGCTGCCTAGAATAGAAGAGGATAAAGAAAGTTATGTATTTTTTATGACTATAGGTATTTAAAATGTGAAAATATTAGAAGGAAGGAAATATTCTGAAATGATTGTTGATGCATTTAAATGGTTAGATTATAAATAATTTTCTTCCCATCTGCAAATTTTGCTTAATATCATATTTGTATACCTTGAGAAATATGTAATTTGTTAGAAATATATAATAGTTTTAGTTAAATATAAAAATAATTTTTTTTGTTTGCAGCTAGTATGTTAGAACGACTAAAAATTTATGAGGAGGCCTGGACTAAGTATCCCAGGGGACTGGTGCCAAGAAGACTGCCATTAAACTTTTTATGTGGTGAGTATAATTGCAAAGGAATGAAAATGATGGGATGATTTACGGTTTCCTTGATTTTAAACATATAAAGGTGCATATTAGTAGGCATTGTTAGAGATGTCTGGGTAATTGTCAGTCAACAGGATTTTTTTCTTCCAAGGTGAGAAGTTTAAGGAATGTTTGGATAAGTTCTTAAGGATGAACTTCAGCAAGGGTTGTCCACCAGTCTTCAATACTTTGAGGTCATTATACAAAGATAAAGAAAAGGTAAAGCAAAATACGACTTTTTTTTAAACTATCATTTCTTTGCTTAGTATTTGGAATAATTGACTCTTGCTTATCTGTGCACATAGTACACATTTTGTGAATCTAGTATCAGTCTTCCTAGCTCATAGTTTAAATGCTCCTGTGCCTCTTCTTTCTTTAGCTAAATAATTTAGTGCTTATTTGTTTTAAGTCAGTGTAGGTATGAAAAGTTGGTAAGGCAGTGATTTCTTCAATATTTTCTCTAATCCCTGCTCATGGTGAAACTCAGAAGTGATTTCTTTTTTTAAACTAAGATTTAGCTCAGTAATCTTTCTCCTTTTTTATTTAGTATAAAAAATTCTGTCAGAAGACTTTATTTGCTGTCCCAGTAAGCTAACTTACTCTTTTAGCTATATATTACAATATTCAAATGCTTGTTAAGAGGATGTTTTGATCTTAATTTAGATTATTTTGCTTGCAAGTACAGTGGCATCAAGACATGTTGGTTGGATAAAAAAAAATCAGTTACAGTGAAGAATCAGAAAGATGGGACAAATTAAACATGCTAAACACTAACCTAAAGCACATAAGGTACACTTATTTGCCAGTCTTTTGTTGCGAGGCCCAAGGCATGGGCTTTATTGATGACTTTCGCTTTTTTTTTCTTGCATAAAACACATTTATAAAATGTGGTCTGTTATTTTCAGTTTGGCTAGAGAACTTGATGATTGCAAAGCAGTTTTAATTGTAGAATTCCTATATATTTTAATGGTATATATGGTTGTCTTATTTAAATCTAAATTGGTTAAAAATACCTAATTTATCCTTGAATCTTTCCACAGTATTCAACTTATAGAAACAGTTCTTTCTTTTATTCTCATTTCTTAAGTTTACATAATATTAAATTAAATTTTGCAATGATGATAATAAATGCAACTGATTCAAACAGGTTTGGGAAAACAAAACTTAGTAAGCATGTAGCTCAACTTGTGGGAGCAGAAGAACATGGGCGCACCAGAATAACCTAGCTGTGGCCATTCAGTCCTCACAGTTTTCTGAGGTAATGGAGAGAGCTGGTGTTAATCTGTTGGATCAGTTAAATTGAGGTCATTAAAGAGAGCTTCTGTAGTAATAGAAGTCCATTTAATAAATTAAAAGTATTCACAGATTTCTTAGGAAGCCAGAAACAAGTAGTATAGTCATGACTCAGGAGAAGCCGGAAGAACATGGACACCCACTCACTCTCCTGGACCTCAAAAACCCATCTACTGTTCCATGTTGATTTTTATTAATGCTTTCCTCCGGATTATGAAATTGAGAGTTAATGCTATCAATTACTTACAGAATTTCTCATTTCACATAGTATTTAATTTTGATTTCTGAAGAATAAATGCTAATTTGGGTTTTATTTATATGGATTGAGATAAAAATCATCCACAACACTATCTCTTTTTGTCCAACCTTTTCCTGATTTCTAGTTCAATTTGATACTTTATTTTCTAGCAGGGAAAGGAGTTGCCAGTAAGTTTTTAAAAAGTTATGTCTTATACATAAGACACGTATGGTTTACTTGCTTTTAGGCTTTTAAAAATACGTTTTTATTGGTTTTAGAGAGAGAGGAAGGGATGGAGAGAGAGATGGAAACATCGATTGGCCGCTTCCTTCATGCCTCCTACCAGAGATCACACCGGTGACCTCTTGGTGCATGGGGTGATAAGCAATTGAGCCACACTGGCCGGGGACTTGCTTTTAAATTTTTATCCATAGATTAAGAGATTTGTAAAAGTGTGTGTGAATGTTTATGTAGCCCTTTAATAGTACATAACACATCCTGCACAGAAATAGTACATATATATATGACATATATACATGACATATATATATAAAATATATATATATATATGCATTTTTTTACTAAACTGTGCTTGTGTATTTATACTCTAGGTGGCAATCATAGAAGAATTAGTAGTAGGTTATGAAACCTCTCTAAAAAGCTGCCGGTTATTTAACCCCAATGGTAAGTTTTGGATTTAAAAATATCTTGAAATTTTGAATGTACTGTGAAATTCTTAATTAGAAGGTCATTACTGTTCCTTATTTAGGCAATAAGTTTAGTATATTTAAATGTTATTCCCCTTTAAGCTAGAGATGCATTAATCTAAACATTGTATGAAAATATTTGGAAGGAAGAAAATTACATTAGCTTATTTAAACACATTTTATGTAAAATTAAAAACATCTCCAAAATAGATGTAATAATATAATGATTATCCATTTATCCACCACCCACCTCCAGTAATTTTTATCTCCTGGCCAAACTGTTTTCATTTATATTCTTACCTATTTCCTTCTACTGCCATGTTATTCTGAAGCAAATACCAAACATCACATAATTTCATTGATGAATTATTTTAATATTCTAAAGATCGTGGCCATAGTATCATCACCACACCTGAACATTAATATTTCCTTAATATCAAAGAACAAAAAGGTCCATGCTTATATTTCCAGTTATTTTAGACACATCATTTTTTTTCTTTTTGTTTTTCATGTTAGTTTGAATGAAGATTCAGATGAATTCTATACTTTGAATTTGGTTGATATGTCTCTTTTAAAAAAATATTTTTATTAATTTCAGAGAGGGAGGGAGAGAGAGAAACATAGAGAAGTTCATGGATCGACTGCCTCCTACAAGCCCCCCACTGAGGATCGAGCCCACAATCTGGGCATGTGCCCTTGTCCAGAATCGAACCAAGGACCCCTCAGTCCGCAGGCTGACACTCTATCCACTGAGCCAAACTAGCCAGGGCTGTTGATATGTCTCTTAACTCTCTTTTATTCTATAGGCTTTTCTTCTATCTTCTCTTCTTCCTGCAACTTGTTTGTTAAGGAAATCAGATATGCTTGAGTTTTTCTACAGTCTGGCTATAAAAAATTAAAAATTCAATTCCTCAGTTGCAATAGCCTCATTTTAAATGCTGCTTAATAGCCATCTGAAGTGACTGCCTACCATATTGGACAGGGCAGATATAGGACATGTCCATCATCACAGAAACTTCTAATAGACAGAGGCTTGATGAGATTTAAAGTTGGGGGTCGGGGGGTGTACGTTGTTTGCTTTTGTTTTTTATCAGAAGAGCAGTGAGCAGGATTATTTCATGGGTGGTGGTATGTTCTTCCATCAAGAGACATGTAGTATTTGTTATACATGTTAGCAATTGGTAGAAATTATAAACTGTTTATATTCTATCATTCATTTTTGTTACCTTAAAAGAAATTTTTTTGATCTATTTGTGCTTATCCAATATTTCATTATGCATAGGAAAAACAAGATACATGCTGCTTTTTCTCCCTGCCTCTTCTACCTTTTTTTTCCCGTTCTTTACCAGTTTTCAAAATAATGAATTGGGTTACTAACATCCTTCAAATATGGCTAGTACATGTTTTAAAGGTATTATGAATTCCTGGATTTAAACATATTTGCTGTTTTAAGTCTTTGCAATTTCAAAATATATTTTTATTGATTTCAGAGAGGAAAGGAGAGGGAAAGAAAGATAGAAACATCAAGGATGAGAGAGAATCATTGATTGTTTGTCTCCTACACACCCCTTACTGAGGATCAAGCCCACAACTGGGGCATGTGCCCTTGACTGGAATCGAACCCAGGGCCCTTCAGTCTATAGGCTGATGCTCTTATCCACTGAGCCAAATCAGCTGGGGCGAGTCATTGCAGTTTCAATGGTTCCAGCCTTCTTATACCATGGTAGTAGTTGATAGCTTCCTTACAATTTTCTTTTTCCAGTTTATCTTGTACACTGTCCATAATGGACCTGGAATCAATTGTTTTTTCCCAAGGAGCCCTGGTTCTTGCAGTGGGAAAGCCCAGTATGGAAACTGGGGTGCTCATTGCTGTTGGTTTGATCATAATTTCTAGGTCTCAGATTCATTTTAATACTATTTAGAAGGCGTTACCATGGTTTCATTGGTTAATCATCATAATATTCCTTTGATTATCAGCATTTTTCTACATATTTTACAAATGTGGAAGAGGTTCAATGAAATGCCCAAGAATATGCAGCATTTAGTTGCAGATCTATCAGATCGGGAGTTGGTGAGTTCCACTCCTATTGTTTGTTCACTGAGCCATCGTACTTTTACCAGGAAAAAAATAAGCAATCTATTGCTTTCTTTGAAAGCAAAGAACAGTTCTCTGATTTTAGAAATTTGTGTTATAAAAAGCACTTTTTAATGTGTGGGTTCTGTATTTAACTTACACATTTTCTTATGAGTATATAAAAATTAAACTATGAAATAGAATAAGTATTTTTACTTATCTTTTTTGGGGGGTATAGTTTTTATTCTACCCCAATTATGAATTGTTGCATATTCACCATAATATTAAAATATATTAAGAATGTTATAATCACCAGAATTTAAAATAACCATATCATAAATATATATATGTATAGTTTAGTACATAGTGAGAAAACCAATTAAACAGTTGGCCTTGTTCTTTTTTTTTTTTCACATTAATGGAAAATTTCTTTTGCCTTTTTTTCTTTTTTCTTTTCTCATATATAAATTCCTGGTCAATACACTCATAGTTCTAGTACAACTTGTCTTTCCCCACCCCTTTCAGTTTCCTTTAGGTAATATATATTTGATTTCATTTACCCACCATGTTTACTATGTAAAGTTCTTACTAAATGCAAGGCATTGGGCTAGGTGCTGTAGTGATACAGAAAAGAAAGTGTGATCCCATCCAAAGATCTTATACTAGTACATTTAGGGGTAATTTTACAGCTAGCTACACAAGTGACATGGTTCAAACTACTCTCTTTATTAATAAAGATAGAATGCCCATTTTGAGGTGGGTATCCTCTTGATATGTGTGTGTGTGTGTGTGTGTGTATACACATATATATAAAATATGTATATGTATAATGACTAATCTTGGTTTCTTTCCTCTTCCACCTGCTTCCCTTACTTTTTAAAGATGATGGAAAAGAGGAACCGCCAACCACATTACTTTGGGTTCAGTACTACTTGGCACAACATTATGACAAAATTGGTCAGCCATGTATCGCTCTTGAATACATAAATACCGCTATTGAAAGTACACCTACATTGATAGAACTCTTTCTTGTGAAAGCTAAAATCTATAAGGTAAAAATCTATTCCTTTATTTTTTTCTTATAGAGTAACGAGACTTAGAAATTTTTTTCTATATTTTATTGATTCTTAGTGCTATAAGAACAATAACTATTTGACAGCTCATAAAACATGAAGTACCAAGCATAGTACATTCTTAGTCTGATTACTGTTATACTTGTCATGGTCATGCTAATTGGACCACTCATATCTATCTATCTAGCTATCTATCTAGCTATCTATATAGACACATATATTGTTATTTATATGTGGTTATTATATATTTTCATACATTCTCACACATATATGTGTATCTGGTTATTTTTTTGGTTTTAAGTAATAAGAGTGTAGGTAATCAAAAGTAATTATATTTGCTGTGAAATACTTGCTTCTGTTAACATTTGAGTTTGATCATATATAAGTATCTGGTAATGTTAATGAAATTAAACTAAAGATTCTATTCTGAATTTTACATATATCTTTTGCCTCCTCAATTCTTGGGTCTTGTATGAGAATTTCTAATCATATGTTTTAGTATCATCTTAAAATAAATTATATTAATATACAAATATAATTTAATAATAAAACTTATTGGGGAAGAGCTTGTAAACCAATAATTTATTTACCAAAAATAAAGAAATTAAGTCATGGCCGAAACCGGTTTAGCTCAGTGGATAGAGCGTCGGCCTGCGGACTGAAAGGTCCCAGGTTCGATTCCGGTCAAGGGCATGTACCTGGGTTGCAGGCACATCCCCAGTGGGGGATGTGCAGGAGGCAGCTGGTCGATGTTTCTCTCTCATCGATGTTTCTATCTCTCTCCCTTTCTCTCTGTAAAAAATCAATAAAATATATTTAAAAAAAAAAAAAGAAATTAAGTCATGTTTTAAAAGCACTTTTCAAATCTAGGTTATGTTCATTAGTTTTCTGGCTTTGCCAAATGGACTAGTTAGTTGAACTGGAGTGAGGATCACTGTGGAATGTTCACTAATGATCCTAATCAGTTTCCATGGTTCCTTTGGGTAGAAATTGGTCATCCCTTTGCCTCTTACCAGTATGACCTTTACATTTAATTATGTTGTTCTCACGTAAATATTTCAATTATTATTTATTCTTTGATTCAACCATTACTTTTGAGTATTCACTGTGTGCTAGATAATATTGTTGGCAATGAAGTTATAATAGTAGTCAATAATCCTATATAATAAAGAGCGAATATGCAAATGGTCATCACGCCCTCACACAATCACATCATAATGGCTCAGACACTCAACACTGGGGAGAGAGGAATGGAGACCAGCCAGGCTGTGGCCCAGGAGAGGGACAAGCCTCCCACCCCCTGGGTGCCTGCAGCCGGCCAGAGGGAGGGAAGCCTGAGTCCTGGGTGCCTACAACCGGCTGGAGGAGGGAATCCTGGGTCCCAGGTGTAGGGCGAGGCAGAGGCAGTTAGGGGCGATCAGGCCAGCAGGGGAGCAGTTAGGGACGATCAGGTCTGTAGGAGAGCAGTTAGGGGTGATCAGTCAGGCAGGCAGAGGTGGTTAGGGGCAATCAGGCAGGTAGGCAGGCAGATGACCGGTTAGGAGCCAGTGGTCCCGGATTGTGAGAGACAGTCAGACATCCCCCGAGGGGTCCTGGATTGGAGAGAGTGCAGGCTGGGCTGAGAGCCACCCTCCCTCCCTCCGCCCCTCCTCACTCACCCACCCCGTGCACTAATTTAGTGCACTGGACCTCTAGTATTAAAATAAGTCTTTACTATTAGAGAGTCTTTAGTCTACATGGCCAGAAAGGTATCAGAACTTATAGCAGAATTTATGCATCTGCACTGATTAGTCAGAAGAATACCTTTCTTTCATTTGTGGTTTCAGTCATATCAATAGGTAATTAATTACTTGCATAGGAATATTAGCATATTGACGGGTTTATTTTGTTTTTGTACCCTGTAAGCATGCTGGGAATATTAAAGAAGCTGCGAGATGGATGGATGAGGCCCAGGCTTTGGACACAGCAGACAGATTTATCAACTCCAAGTGTGCAAAATATATGCTAAAAGCCAATCTGATAAAGGAGGCTGAAGAAATGTGCTCCAAGTTTACAAGGGTTTGTACAGCTAATATTCTTACTTAAGAATAAACAGTTCAGCCCTAACTGGTTTGGCTCAATGGATAGAGCGTCGGCCTGTGGACTCAAGGGTCCCAGGTTAAATTCTGGTCAAGGGCATGTACCTTGGTTGCAGGCACATCCCCAGTAGGAGGTGTGCAGGAGGCAGCTGATCAACATTTCTCTCTCATCGATGTTTCTAACTTGCTATTCCTCTTCCTTCTTCTCTGTAAAAAAAAATCAATAAAATATATTAAAAAAAAACAAAACATATCATACTTGTATACCTTACTTATTTTCAAAGTTTGGTTCTGATATATATTTAAAACATATATATTTTTATTGATTTGAAAGAGAGTGAGAGAAAGAGAGAGAGAGATGAATGATGAGATAAAACCATTGATCGGCTGCCTTCTGCATGCCCCTTACTGGGGATCAATTCCATGTACCCTGACCTGGAATCGAACCATGAACTTCTGGATCATAGGTCAATGCTCAACCACTGAGCAGCACTGGCTTGGCATTTTCTAATATTTTTAACATCAAAATAGGAGTTTAATTAAATCACCTTATCAGCAAAAAAAAAAATCAATGTTAGTATAAAACATTATTACCTTTTAGATGGTTGTACAATGGGTTTTTTAACTCTGATTTATATTGATGGATGTTCAGATTAATTTTTTTAGGGCTGAAGGAAATTAATATAAATCGAGTACCTGCTATGTGCCTAGTGTTCTGTTTCTTAAGTTACTCTCCAACCCCAATTATATAGATACTAGAGGCCCAGCGCACGATTAAATCATGAGTGTGTAGGGTCCCCTAGACCTAGCCTGCCATCAGGGCCTTGTCCACCGCCCCCAACACCTCGCATGCTCCGCGGACGCTGCCGTCCCTTGCCCTCCACCAGATGCCAGGTTCTCACCTTCCCTGGGCCTGGCGTTCACCCACTTGGAGGATGCCTATAGGCAGCAGCCCCATTGTGGAGCCGCTCTTGGCGCCCTCCCCTTTGGATGCCGGGATGTCCTGCTCCACTGGCCTCTGCTCCACCTTGGCTAGGGTAGTAACTGCCACTGCCACCACAATCGCCATGCAAGAGTAAAGCCGGCAGGCCGGTGGCACACTCCCTTACACTCCCCCTCCCACCTCTCAAAGGTTAGCCCCGCCCTGTCAATCCAACCAATCTGGGAGCCCTGCTGCCCCACCTCCAGCCAATTCGCTCGCCCACTGCCCTCACCGCTCCCCCACCCCACAACTGCCTTCCCAACCACCCTGGAGGCTCTCAGTCTTTTGAGCTGAACCTTGCAACCCAGTGAAGGCAGGGAGGGCCACCTGACACACCAGGAAACTGAAGTCTGAGACTGAGTGTGAGTGCAACTCCGCTCCGTTCCCTCCCATAGAGCCTGTCCTATCCCTCTGCGCTAAGTGCTCAGGTCCCCCCTCACCCCCGACGTCAAGGGCCTATTCTACCTCCCCGCTGCCTCCCGCCTCCCATTGCTGCCCACCGCGCCCCAGCTGCCCACAGCACCCTGGCTCCGCTCCTGCCTCCCACCTCTGCCGCCTTGGCTCCATTCCTGTCTCCGCCACCTCTACTTTGCTCCCATCTGCAGCACTTGGCTTCCTTCTACGTTGTCTCCAGTCTTTGCTCCCAGCTGGCATATGCAAATTAACCGCCATCTTGGTTGGGTTAATCTGCATAGTCATTCTGATTGGCTGGTGGGTATAGCGAAGGTATGGCCAATTAGCATCTTTGTCTTTTATTAGTGTAGCTTTTGATTAGTTGTTTACAAAGGTACATATTTTTTGTGTGGTTAGAAATATAATTTCAAAAAAATATATATATAATTTCAGTTTCACATTTTATTCCCTCTTAATCTGAGAATGGGTTAAAAAACAAAACGATTTTGAAAGAATTCAGATTATTTGACCATCTTTTTCTGAAATCCTGTGGTAGAATAATGTATTAGGTAAGAAATGTTCTTGAATATGTGTGATTTTTCACATAGGAAGGAACATCAGCGGTAGAGAATTTGAATGAAATGCAGTGCATGTGGTTCCAGACAGAATGTGCCCAGGCTTATAAGACAATGAATAAATTTGGTGAAGCGCTTAAGAAATGTCATGAAATTGAGAGAGTAAGTACCCTGAATATATGAGTTTTTTATTTTAATTCTCTTAAATATTAAAGATGTGGGGTAAGTCCTATTGTTTTTTCTTTTCTCTTTATAAGTTACATTAAGTGATTTCTAAATATTAGTATTTACATTTTTCAGTCTTTATAATGGAAACTAGAGGCCCAGTGCACAGAATTCGTGCATAGGGGGTGGATGGGGATCCTTCAGCCCAACCTGCACCCTCTCCAATCAGGGAGCCCTCAGGGGATGTCCTACTGACAGCTTAGGCCCACTCCCTGTGGCTCTCTGCTGTCTGCGGTGCCCACTTGGCTGCTCCCGGGTTGCTGTGGGCGACGGCCAAGCAGGCCCTACTGTGTGCTGTCTGCGGGTCTTGCGTGACTGCTCCCGGGTCACTGCGGGCGACGGCCAAGCAGGCCCTGTTCTCAGCGGCCGCCCCTAAGACTGGAGGACTCCAGCGGGGCTGAGAGGACCGGGTGCTGCCATCTTTTGTGTTGGAGTGATGGTTAATTTGCATATTACTCTTTTATTAGATAGGATATTATAGACTGCATTTTCTGCAGACTTTCCCATTGTCTACTCCTCCTGCAAGAGTTCATGTAAAAGTATTTATGGAAAGTTTGTATCTTATGTTTTCATTGATTTTTTTTAATGTTTCTTTGAAATAGCTGCTGTTCCTTGAATAACACAAAGTTCATTAAGTTATCCTAGAAACCTGTTTGTCATAGATTTGATTAGGGATACCATATTCCCTTGGTATTTATGAGATGGGAGCTTAGAAGCCTTTTTACAATATTTCAATAGCCTATATAATGCCTCATTTTTTATAAATTCATTGTTTTTGTAGTCCTCTTCACTTTTGATTATTTTCTGTGTTTTATTTCCAGATAAAAATAGGTTATATAATTTCATGCTTGTTTCATTAAATAGAGAACCCCAGAGCTTAGTTGAATTGTGTTCATTTCTGATTGCTTGATTTACTTGCTAATTGATTTCTACATACTAGCATTACTATTTCATAGCATTCAGATTTGTAGCCTTATAAAAGTTACCAGATACTGAATATTATAATACTTAGCAAAATTGTTCTAAATGTAAAAACTGAATGTTTATGCAAATCTTACTATATTACATCATTATGTATACTGTTTGATTTGTCATGATAGCTTTATTTAAGTACTGGAGGCCCGATGCATGAAATTTGTGCAGGGGGCTCAGCCCTTGAAGAAGCCCTGTCTGCCTCAGCTGACCCTTGCAGCCCTGGCTTTGCCCAGAAGGTTGTCTGGACGGTTGTCCTGCTATTCGGTCTAATTAGCATATTAGCTCTCTATTATATAGGATAATTAAGGAAGGAATAAATACGTTTTAAAGCATTGTGTTTCCTTTTCATCCAACAAGTAATTCAGTGCTTTGTATGTGCCATATGTCTTGCTAATTGGTGATGGCCAATTATATTTGCTTATTTGCAAAGTGTTTAGTATATTGAATGATTGTAACTTTTTGTTATTTTACTTATGTTTTTATGCTTAGGTCATAGGTAATTCCAAGGATTTGAGTTTTGTTGTTTTCTTTGGTATTGCTTTATTTCAATATAATAAAAAAGACAATTTTATTAGCATTTTATAGAAATCACTGATGACCAGTTTGACTTTCATACATACTGCATGAGGAAGATTACCCTTAGATCATATGTGGACTTATTAAAATTAGAAGATGTACTTCGACAGCATCCATTTTACTTCAAGGCAGCAAGAATTGCTATAGAGATCTACTTGAAGCTTCATGACAACCCCCTTACAGATGAGAATAAAGAACGTGAAGCTGATACAGGTATGGTATGATATACAAAGAACTCTTATTGTTTGCTGTGGTATGAGTATGTGTATTTATGTTTTTGTGTAATATATAAATTTTTCCTGAGCAGTTTCTTAACCATTCTCTGGGAAGATATTATAACTAGCCCTAACCTGTGGGTTTTGCATCTGTGGATTCAACCAAACATGGGTCGAAAATAACGAAGGGGGCCCTGGCTGGGTTGCTTATTTGGTTGGAGAATCATCCCATGTTAAAAAAGATCCTGGATTTGATTCCTGGTCAGGGCATATAAATGGATTGTAGGTTCAATCTCCAGTCAGGTGCACAGGAGGCAACTGATCAATGTTTCTCACATTGGTGTTTCCCTCTCTCTCCCCCTTCCTCTCTCTATAAAAATCAATAGGATCATATCCTTGGGTGAGAATTCAAATAAACAAACAAACAAACAAATAAATAAGTGGGAGATCCCAGAAAGTTTCAAATAGTAAAACTTGAATTTATCATGTGCCAAGCACTATACTGAACCCATGTAAATGAAGTGATGTTTGGTTATACTGTGTTGTAGCCTATATGCAAAAACTGGTTCATTATATAATGGACTTCAATATCTGGGGATTTTGATATCTGGGGGGGGGATCCAGAGGATACTGAAGGTATACATGCTTAGAAAATGATGACAGTCACTTTGTGAATTTCTCTAAGCAACAAAAGAAAAATACTGTTCTCTTAGCCCCGTGGCCGGCAAACTGCGACTCGCGAGCCACATGCAGCTCTTTGGCCCCTTGAGTGTGGCTCTTCCTAAGCCTTAGGAGTACCGTAATTAAGTTAATAACAATGTACCTACCTATATAGTTTAAGTTTAAAAAATGGGGCTCTCAAAAGAAATTTCAATCGTTGTACTGTTGATTAATGAGTTTGCCAACCATTGCCCCTAGCCCAGCCATGGGCAAACTACGGCCCGCGGGCCGGATGCGGCCCCTTTGAAATGAATAAAACTAAAAAAAAAAAAGACCGTACCCTTTTATGT